CAATTCCTTGTTTGCTGCGTTCTGGACTGCTCCTGATTGTCAATTATTCTCAATATCCATAATCTTACCTAAAACTCAGAGTGCAGTTGACTGTTAACGGGAACACTGGAAATGTTTCTCTCCTTAATTTGGGACTTTTTTTTCCCTCTTTTAATGGATTTCAAGCTTGTATGTACTCTTCAAAGGCTGCCAACATCCCACTCATACCATGGAACATCATTTACTTTCACTCTGACTGATCTTCCAGCTGCCGAGCTCCTCCGTGGTATGACCCTGCATCTCCCTTTCCACCATCATGTCGGGTATCTCACAAATGTCTCAGTCCATTATTTTTCTGAAATAAAGATGTGCTATTTTTTAAGCCTTTTTGATAAGCATATAAACTAATTTACATAAAGTCTTAACAGAATGAGTTAAGAGCAACTTGCATTTTTTAGTGACCCATCATATCTATAGTTTCTTTTTTTTTTATTATTATTTTCTCACAAACCTGTTCTCTAACTTTCCTGGTGGTTGACGTCAAGCCTATTGGTTGTAAATTCTGGAATTTTACTGTTTTTGGCCTTTTGAAGATTGGGGATATTTTCCCATTCTTGCCTTCTGGAGAGAATTCTCTATACTCCATGATTTCTCAACTATGACTGACACTGATGCCTGGGTAGTTACCTAAGTTATTTAATCAAGCATCATAGATTTTCTGGATCCAAATACTCAATTTTAGTCAAAGAATTGATGATGTATTCCATTATTCCCTCTCTTAATTTGATTTTCAGTTTTCTCTTAATAATTTCTCTTTTGCCATTTACAGTTTAGAAAGAAAATTTAATTTTATGGAAAAGGTAGCCACAAAATAACCTAGCAATTCTTTATCATATTCATAGACTTTATCCTAAGCAAGACATAAGCAAAGTGGTGTTTCTCGGTGTTAAAAGATCCAGCTCGTGGTTCTATAAAACAGAGCTTCGGGGTGGGTGTTTAGCCCAGCAGTTAAGACCCAGTTTTTAGTCACCTGTGTCCCATATCAGGTGCCTGCATCGGATACCCAGCCCTGCTCCTCACTCCAGCTTCCCGCTAACGCAGATCCTGGGAGTCAGTAGTGATGGCTCAGGTAATTGGGTTCCTGCCACACATGAAGGAGACTCAGATTGTGGTCCCAGCACACAGTTTCCACCTAGCCATACCTCATCTGTTGTGGGCATTTGAAGAGTGAAACAATAGACAAAAACAAACAAACAAAATGCAGATTTTTGAGAAACCTGTGTTTGGAACCAGACAAGACATAGGGCCACAAAAGGTGACACCAATAGGAAACAAATATATCATGTGCATAACTGAGAGATTAATATTAGAGACTTTGCCATTCTGGGAGCTAGGGAGCTGGGGCTGCACCCCCAGAATTTGACAGGCAATTCCCGACAGTCACAAGCAGCTCTGGGCCACCGCAGATCTCCAGGAGGCAAGATCTTCACCTCTGAGTTACCTGGAGGCTGAGAGCCTCAGAGGACATGGGCTTGCAGAAGCGGCTGTCTCCCAAGCCAGGAGGCAGAAGAGGCCGATTACTGCCATTCTCTTTCCAACATACTACTTAGGTATTAGCTGCTCCGCCACCACCCCGGAGCACAGAGAGCAATAGAGAAGGCTGGGCTTGTTGCAGATTCCTGCACAAGAAAGGAGATAGGAGTACATAACACAGCCCTAACTAGTTAGAAATGTCTGCTCCACTGTTCTCAAGTAATATGGCATCTCAGAAGTTGCATTATTTCTTTAACCCTCATTTTCACCTCTATAGAGTGGAGGAAATAACAGCATAAACTTCATGACTTGTACTACCTAACATGTATTATTTGTTGTTATTAGGCCAATAATCATTTTCTTCTATTTCTGAATGAACAGAGTTTTAAACAATGTGTATTGTCCTCAACACTTTTTGTTGTCCTCTGGCTTCTGCTCACTTCTGGCTTTGACTTCCTGACACTGCTCGCAGAAGTGTGCCCTATCACCTGCACTCACCGTTTCTTTTTCTTTCTTCTCCCCTTTATTTGACTCAGGTTCTTTGAAAGCCTGGAATTGTGAGAGAGCTCACAGTCCAGCCATGATGGTTTCTCTATCATCTGTCCCTCTCTCTCCCAACCCTACCTCCTATTTGTATTGTATGAATGCGTAACATGATTAGAACTCCATTGATCTTTTGCAGTCACTTTTCCTTTGTTTCTCATGCTGTTGGCATTTATCACTTTTTCCTGGAGCTTTGTGAAGTCAGCATGGAATGTATGACCAGAAATGCCCAGCACTTTCTTCTGTTACTTTTGTGAACACTAGGACGACATGGTCACTTTCCCTGCTTTCTGTCACTCCCATGTTGCCACCAAGCCCTTCTTTGTAGATCAGATGAAGTCCAGACAGACACTTCATTTATTCTTTTACTTTATAACATTTTGTTTGAGGAGGGCTTAGAATTTAAATTAATAATTCTGGGTAGAAGTAATTTATATGGCCTTGAGGTGTTTCAATGTCAAACAGTCGCTCATTCTTCACATTTTTGTCATGTTTCTTCTCTTTATCCTGCCTGCCACCATGTTCCTTAAAAAAATGTGTAGGTAACTCATAATTCAACTCCATATTCATCTGTTACTTTAATGGCCTATTTTTCAAAAGAATAGGCTCTTTATATATAAGAAAATCTAAATTTTCTGACAGTAGGGTTCATATTTCCCAATAGTACAATGTTTGATAGAAACTTTTTGAAAAGTGAAAAAGTCTCCTTTGGTTCATATTTGTGAAAATTTATGTTTTTCCTAAAATAAATATCCTTAGAAGGAAACATCATTAAGAAAACTACTTGTTGTCAGGAAAAAATATATTTTTTTCCAAGAAAAATACATAATGCTCAATGACATTAATATAGTAATTAACATTGTCGTGGTACAGTGGCTAAAATACCACTTGAGACACCTACTTCCCATGTTGGAGTGCCTGGGTTCAAGTCTTGGCCCTGCTTCTGCTTCTAGCTTACTGCTAGTTCACACCCTGAAAGACAGCAGATGATGGCTCAAGTAGTTGAGTCCTTGCCACCCGGGTAGGAGACCTCCCTAGAGTTCTGAGTTTCTGGCTTCAGCCTGGCCCAATAGTGGCTATTGTAGGCATTTAGGGAGTGAACCAGCAGGAAAATCTCTCACTCTGCTCAGTCTCTCTCTACCTCTGTTGTCTGCCTTTCAAATAAATAAAAATTAAATAACATTTACGTATCTCTTGTTTTCATTACTTTAATAATTATGACAAAGGCTGTGTTATTTATTCTGATATATAATGTATTTAACATATTATTTACTGTATTCAAGTATGAGGTTGCAGAATGGAAGGGTTATTTCTTTAATATATATGTAATATTTAATAAAGATTAAAAGTAGGCTGGCCCCGCAGCCCACTAGGCTAATCCTCCGCCCAGCACCCCGGGTTCTAGTCCCGGCTGGGGCGCCAGATTCTGTCCCGGTTGCTCCTCTTCCAGTCTAGCTCTCTGCTGTGGCCCAGGAGTGCAGTGGAGGATGGCCCAGGTGCTTGGGCCCTGCACCCGCATGGGAGACCAGGAGGAAGTACCTGGCTCCTGGCTTCGGATCAGCGCAACGCGCCGGCCACAGCGGCCACTTGGGGGGTGAACCAACAGAAAAAGGAAGACCTTTCTCTTTCTCTCTTTCTCTCTCTCTCTCTCTGTCTGTCTAACTCTGCCTGTCAAAAAAATAAATAAATAAAGATTAACTAACCGAGCACCAAAAAGGAAACCTGTTAAAGTGAAATGAACACTATGAGAAACGGTGACTTGATCAGCCCTCACCCTGACTGTTGATGAGCAACTTGATATGTTATCCCTCTTAGTATTTTTTGTTTGTTTGTTCTACTTAATACTTTTGGTTGAATACTGTAATCAATACACAATTCTTCTTAAGTGCTGAAACTTAACTGAAAAGTGATCACTGTTAAATATAAGAGTGGGAATAAGAGAGGGGAAGAGATGTGCAATTCGGGACATGCTCAAGCTGACTTGCCCCAAATGGTAGAGTTAGAAACATACCAGGGGATTCCATTTCAATCCCATCAAGGTGGCATGTACCAATGCCATCTCACTAGTCCTAGTGATCAATTTCTGTTCACAATTGATCCTAATGATAGGACTAAGAACCAAAGGGATCACATAAACAAGAATAGTGTCTGCAAATACTAGCTGATAGAATAAAAAAGGGAGAGAACAATCCAACATGGGAAGTGAGATACACAGCAGACCCATAGAATGGCAGATGTCCTAAACAGCACTCTGGCCTCAGAATCAGCCCTTAAGGCATGCGGATCTGGCTGAAAAGCCCATGAGACTATTTCAGGCATGGAAAGCCAAGACACTCTGGGGAAAAAAAAAAAACCTAAATGAAAGATCTCTGTGAGTGAGATCCCAGTGGGAAGAACGGGGCTCCATCAAAGAAGGAGGTACCTTTCTCTGAAGGGAGGAGAGAACTTCCACTTTGACCATGGCCTTGTCTAAATATGATCAGAGTCAGTGAACTCAGGGGGCTTCCATAGCCTTGGCAGCTCATGACAAGAGCCTAGGGTGATTACTGAGGCCATAAACAAGAGTGTCAATTTGTTAAGTCAACAACAGGAGTCACTGTGCACTTACTCCTCATGTAGGATCTTTGTCCTTAGTGTGCTGTACATTGTGATTTAATGCTATAACTAGTACTCAAAGAGTATTTTTCACTTTATGTTTCTGTGTGGGAGCAAACTGTTGAAATCTTTACTTAATGAATGCTAAACTGATCTTCTGTATATAAAGAGAAACGAAAATGAATCTTGATGTGAATGGAAGGGGGGAGGGAGTGGGAAAGGGGAGGGTCACGGGTGGGAGGGATGTTATGGGGGGAAGCCATTGTAATCCATAAGCTGTACTTTGGAAATTTATATTCATTAAATAAAAGTTTAAAAAAATTTAAAAAAAAGATTAAAATAATGCCATACCTTACCTGGTTGTTGCTAATCTTTTTGGAAGTATTACTTCATTAAAGAAGTTGTCAAACTCATTTTCCAAAAAGGAATGGATGAAGTTATATCTAAAATTTTTGATAGAATTCTAACTCCCTCAAATTTCATTTCTGTGGTTACTAAATGCCAAAGACTTAGTTATGTGTGTTGAGTTTTTATTTTTTGAGAAATCTATAATGATGTGGAATTCAAAGTGTGTACAACAAAAAGTAGTTTGTTACTTTTAGACTTGATGTTTGTACAGTCATTTAGTATGCATTAGACACAACTATTTGATAGTAGACATTGGGATAATTAATACATGTAAATAATTTAAATTTCTCAATTTTGCGTTGATTCCATTGCTCCTTTTGCCAAACTAAAAAAAAAATTAACAGATGACAAGAATTGGGATGATTTAAAGATCTTAGCTCTTCTATTAGCTGGATACTTGATTTATTAAGTAATAAATGACTAATCAGAATTGAAATAAACTAGGCAGGTCCACTATGCCTGGCCATCAGTGGATTTGATGTTTCATTACGTCATATTCTGTAAACCTTCCACCTCTTTTCCTCCTCCTTGTTTCTTCCTTTCACCATTTTATCAATTTGAAAACCTCCCAGAAAGCTCCCAGTTGCTGGGTGTGTAGTGTGGATGGGAGTCCATTCCGGAACTGTCATGTATAGAAATGTGTATTGTTCTGATCCTTCCATACCCTCCCCGAGCACAGATATTAGCAGAGGCTGTGACACCCAGCTCCTCAGAAATGCCATCACATCCTGTGACACCAGTGATTTCATAACTGGACCTTTCGTTCCTCAGACTACTTGGGAATTAGTTAGCCACCGAGCTTCTTAGATTGTAATACTTCATCTAGAGGCATCTCCCGTTTAGGATATTCCCCGGCATTCTGATGCTACAGAAGGCATTTTTGGGAGCAGTAGAACCATCAGTACATTGGAACCTTAAGAAGCTACTAGTTTCATATTCGTTGCAGTTTCTCTCTCCTGGTAAACAGAGATGGCTTTGTTTAAGAAACAATCAGGAGGCTGGTTGCCCCTCTCATTTCTATCAGTACAAGAGTACAAGTCAAGTGATTTCTTGAGCATACAGGAATATCAGGAGTGTCTGTGGTTTATACAGTCTGCTCCTTTTTGATACTTCTTGGAGTATATGCTGTTAGGTGAATAGGCACTAAGCAATTTTGCAAAGATGTCAGCTCCTTGGAAGAAATGGGATGGAGACTATGACCACTTGCTTTTGACATCTATTAAAAGATAACCCTCTACACTGGGCTGAATATCCCTGCTTAATTTTTTTTAAAGATTTATTTATTTTATTTGAAAGTCTGAGTTACACAAAGAGAGAAAGAGAGGTCTTCCATCTGCTTGTTCGCTCTCTAATTGACTGCAATGGTCAGAGCTGCGCCGACCCAAAGCCAGGAGCCTGGAGCTTCTTCCAGTGCAGGGGCCCAAGGACTTGGGCCATCTTCCACTGCTTTCCCAGGCCATCCTGCTTGATTTTTGACAGCAGAAAAGGATGCATAGTTCTCCTGGAGGGGTGCTTCAGGCAGTGTGTAGAGTTCAGCATAATGCACTTGCACTATGTTCTAGTTGGAAGCTTGACCACCCAAACTCCGATCTGCAGCCACATGTTACCATTTCTCACCTGTCAGACCAGCAAGAAGTAAAAAGTGCGGGAGCCTGTGCTATTGACCATACTGTGGGAAAACAGGCGCTCTCTCCTACTGCTAGAGGGAATGTAGACTGGTGTCATCATTCAGTAGAGAACTTGGCAATATCTAACAAAACTACACCTATGAACTTCACCTGGAAAGCCACTCCAACAATACAAAATTACATTCTTTCAGAGGAAACCTATAGTTGACATGGACTCTAGGCCAACAGCACAACTGCAACAGGGCACAAGACATTGGGACTAGGGAGGCCACTTTTCAACATCCTATGAACTGCATCTAAAACAGCCACAAAAATCTGGACAGAGTTCCCACATTTCTCACCACCAGCACATTTAGGTTGGATTAATACCAAATCCGGCACCATTGTCCTACAACAAGTAGCAGGCCTGTGGTAGAATGGAAAGTTGAGACGTGGACCCAGATGGAAATTTAATATGTGATAGCAGCAGAGTGATAAGCCTTTCAGTAAATGGTATGGAAACAACTGGCTTGCCTTTTGGAAGAAAAAGATAAAAGCACATCTTTATGTCACTCCATGCACAGGAACAAACTCCAGATGGAACAGAGACCTAAATGTAAAAAATGTGAACAAAACAAACACTACCCAGAAATTAATGAATTATTTTAGAACATACACTAAGGAATTTTTTTCTATAACTTAAAACTAGTTTTAGTAGAAGAAAAGATGAATAGTTTTAATTAGAATACATTTAAAAAGTACTGGGCAATGAAACAGACCTATAAACAAACACGTAAGATTTGCAATCTAACATTAAGAGTTGATATCCCCAGTATATAAAAGACTGCTCAGAATTAAGAAAACCAAAAACTTGGCAAGACAACAGACAAAAGACATAATCAATTTTAACATCAAGATATCTGTACATTGTCTTAAACATAAAAGGATATTCAACCCTTATTCATTATAAGCAAAAAAGGAAATTTAAAAAATACAGAGTACTATTTATAGCCTATTCATGTTAACAAAAACTAAACCATACAGGGTAACTTATTCTGCTGTCCTGACTGGAAAAATCAGATTTTTTCTTATAATTTTGTTGGCAGTACAAGTGGGTATGATCCTGTTGGAAAGAAATGTGGACAAGTGTAACACAACTACACACAAATTTACCTTTTGATCCAGCAATCCCATTTCTAGGAAATTGCCCTGAGGATACATTTCACAGTACTAAAACACGTGGTGACATTGTGTTGAAACAATCAAAATGCTCATACTTTGGAGAATGGGTGAAAAGGGGTACACCCACAAAACTGAGTACTAGGCAGCTGCAGCTATCAAAAAGAAAAATGAAGATCTCTATGAACTGATATGAAGTGATTTTTAGAACATATTGTTAAGTGAAAGAATAAAATTTAGAAGGCATATTATACTGCTTTCTGTGTAATAAAAAAGAGGAATAAGATATAGAAGGAGAAGTAAATGAGAATAGGATAGAAGAAATAGGAGAAAGGACAATTCTTAGAAAAGAACTTTTTCTTACATCTAACATTTAGAACCATATTACTATTTCATATGCTCAAAAAAAGCAAAGCCATGCATCCAAAAAGAATGAGAATGACCTTAAACAGAATTGAAACAGAAACAAGTGATTCTACTCCATTTCAAAGGAATAACATAACCACAACTGAGGTGTGGGTAAGAGGTAGTTAAAAAGTGACCCAAGTGATTTCTGAAGACTTATCATAAAATAACTTTCTGTAAAAGGCCCAGGGAAGATATAGAAAGTCATAACACCATTATGTCAAATAATAACATTGAATGTGTAATGTAAGAAATTTTCACACCCACAAAAAAAGATGCCCAGGCTCAAATGGCTTCACCAGCAATTTTCTCCAAATATTTAGGGATAAAAATAGCACAAATCTTACCAAATTATTCCAGCAAATTGAAAAAGAATTACTATTTCCTGACTTTACCTAATAGGGTACTATCACCTTAATCATAAAAGCTGACAAGAATATTATAAGAAAGAAAAAACACACACAAGCCAAGGTTATATTTGTCTGAACAACTCAAAACTCATTTAATATCCAAATCCAATTAATGTAATTCATGATATTTAGAGGAGAAAAAGTAAAATAATGATTTTCTTAATAAATTTTTTATGACATTCAACAGCCATTCAGTTTCTTTATAAAGGAAAAATAGAAGCTCCTCTAGCAACCTAGGAACAGAGGAAGCTCCTCTAAACTTATCTATTAAAAAGTCGTTGGCAAATCCTATACTTGGCTGTAAAGTAAAGCCCCTTCCCTGAGTTTGGGATCCCACTCCTTTGAACAGCACATTGCAGACAGTGCAACTGTTGTCAAACAGCAGGCCTGCTCTGCTCACATGCAGCCCCGCTATTATTAGAACAGCACTGAGCACATCTCTGAGGAAGAGAAGTTGCATTATCCAGACCTGTCAGGAGATGTGAGGAATGAAACCAACAAAACCAAACCCACCTCCCCATTTAGAAAGGGCTTTGGGAATTTGTGGAGTTCGGGTAAATGAGGTGTAACTGGATGAAGCTGACAGAATACTATGGGATTGGAGGAAAGGGATGCGGGAAGTCCTCGGAGCATGTGCGTTCATTTACTGTGCCTCCGCACGCCTGTGTGTTCAGGAGTGGCGCTGCATTGTGGGTCACGGAAGCTGTGTCAGCCGATGTTCTAATGAAACCCAAGGTAACGCTCCTCTAAGTTTGAGTTGATCTGCACAAGCTGCAGTCACCATTCTGATTGCAGCCAGTTCTTTCCAGTTTTAGCAGAGTCCCTAAAAAGACAGCTCAGAAGATTTTTAGCAAAGACAACTATTATGAAATAGCAAGTTACTATGCAACAGGCAGGCAGGCAAATGACTATTATGGGCTGTTAGTATGTTAAGCAGATAAGGGAAGCTTTCTTCTAAGCAAGGGAGGAGAATCCTTTATTGCACATAGTTTCACAGCAAGGCAAAGGCAAAGAAAGTTTAAAAGAATTGGAAAGGAAGACATAACACTAATTATTTGCAGATGGCACAATTGTGGATGCAAAAATATCCAAATGGTTCTATGGAACTCTGGAAAAATTGGTAGAATTAGCTTGGACAATAATCCGGTCTCAGTCTGTCTTGTTTCCTCAAAGGCAGGCTCTCCATGGCGATTGTCAGGCTGCTTTGTGAATATGTAAGAGCTGCTGTTTTTGCTGATTCTCAGCTGCTGCCACATTGAGTTTGTATCTCCTACAGATATCTTGGGAAATTCACACTCTTATTCACTGCCTTATCTCGTTCACATCTTTAAAAATGTTCCTGGTCGCCCATGCTTATGTTTTAGATGCCTAAGTCTCAAGCCCTTCCTCCTCAAAAGTGCTTTGAACACTTATTTATAAAATTTCTCAGCAAACTTTCCTTTTTAAATTTTTTAAAGATTTATTTATTTACTTGAAGGGTGGAGCTACAGAAAGGCAGAGGCAGAGAGACAGAGAGAGGGAGGTCTTCAATCGGCTGGTTCACTCCCCAGGAATCCACTGGTTCACTCCCCTGATGGCCGCAACGGCTGGAAGTGGGCCGATCCGAAGCCAGGAGCCTGGAGTATCTTCCGAGTCTCCCACGTGGGTGCCGGGGCCCAAGGATTTGGGCCATCTTCTACTGCTTTCCCAGGCCATACATAACAGAAAACTGGATTGGAAGAGGAGCAGCCTGGACTTGAACAGGTGCCCATATGCGATGTCAGCACTGCCGGCGGCAGCAAACTTTAAAAAGTAGGCTGCGGCCGGCGCCGCGGTTCACTAGGCTAATCCTCTGCCTCGCGGCGCCGGCACACAGGGTTCTAGTCCCGGTCGGGGCGCCGGATTCTGTCCCGGTTGCCCCTCTTCCAGGCCAGCTCTCTGCTGTGGCCAGGGAGTGCAGTGGAGGATGGCCCAGGTCCTTGGGCCCTGCACCCCATGAGAGACCAGGAGAAGCACCTGGCTCCTGCCATCGGATCAGCGCGGTACGCCGGCCGCAGCGCGCCGGCCGTGGCGGCCATTGGAGGGTGAACCAACGGCAAAGGAAGACCTTTCTCTCTGTCTCTCTCTCTCACTGTCCACTCTGCCTGTCAAAAATAAATAAATTAATTAATTAAAAAAAGTAGGCTGAAACTCATTGAGGCCCAATGGGAAGCCCTGATATGTTCATTTGTAGCTTTTAAATGAAAAACATTTTATTTCTCATGGTATACATAGTAAAAATAAAGAATAACAATAAAAGTCTTCTAACAACAGCTCATCCCCTGGAGGGGCATGTGTTTCAAGTGTGACAAGAAAACAGAACAATAAGCCGGCGCCTTGGCTCACTAGGCTAATCCTCCGACTTGCGGCACCGGCACACCGGGTTCTAGTCCCGGTCGGGGCGCCGGATTCTGTCCCGGTTGCCCCTCTTCCAGGCCAGCTCTCTGCTGTGGCCAGGGAGTGCAGTGGAGGATGGCCCAGGTCCTTGGGCCCTGCACCCCATGGGAGACCAGGAGAAGCACCTGGCTCCTGCCATCGGATCAGCGTGGTGCGGCGGCCATTGGAGGGTGAACCAATGGCAAAGGAAGACCTTTCTCTCTGTCTCTCTCTTTCTCTCTCTCACTGTCCACTCTGCCTGTCAAAAAATTTTAAAAAAAAGAAAACATAACAAAATATTATATATTTAAAATTCATAGGTTGTAAAAACATATGTGTATATGTAGTACTTTAGAAAGCAATTATATGGGGTCACTGACCGAGATGCTGGCATCACAAAGCAGAATGCCTCGGTTTGGTACTCACCTCTGGCCTGTAATTCCACGTCTGCTGCAAGTGATGGCTCATGTAATTGGGTTCCTGCCACTACATGGTAAACCTGGGGTGAGTTCCTGCCTTCAGCCTAGGCAGGCCCTAGCTGTCGTGGTTATTTGGGAACTGAAGCAGTAGATGGGAGATCTCTGTGTGACCCTTGGGAAAAAAAAAGGATTGCAATTGTAAGCCAATTCTTAAAAGATGTTTTAAAGCTTTGTTTTATTTATTTGAAGGAAAGAATGGATGAGAGAAAGAGAGAGAGAGAGAGAGAGAGAGAGAGAGAGAGTGCTTCCATATGCAGGTTCACTCCCCAAATGTCAACAGCCAGGAACTCCATCTTGGTCTGCCACGTGGGTGGCAGGGGCCCAAGTATCTGGGCCATCTTCCACTGCCTTCCCAAGCACATTAGCAGGGAGCTGGGCTGAAAGTGGAGCAGTCAGGACTTGAGCCAGGACTCTTATGTGGGATGCTAACATTGCAAGCAGAGGCTTAACCTGCTGTACTACAACACCAGCCCCTAAGCCAGGTTTTTTTTTTTTTTTAATTATATTATATACTGATGTATTTCTAAAAACTGGAATTAGTGGCTGCAAAGTATCTCATTCAATGGATGTAGCATAGTTTATACACTCATTTCTACATTGAGATAGTTCTCTTTTTTCTGCTACAAGTAATGTGACCGCATAAACCTTTGCATAGCAATCGTTTCGCTATTTAGGAAATATATATCAGAAGGAAAATTACTGGATGTGTGAGATATGGGCACTTAAGGTCTGATTCACCCTAAAATGCTGGTTTTTTTTTTTTTTTCAGAGGGATTATACCAATTCAGACTGCCAGGGCAGTACATGATACCTTCATGTTACTACAGCCTGATTAGCACTGCTAATTACTATTGTGGAAGGCCACTGAGAAGGTGAGCTGGGTATGGTATCTTGTTTTAATTGGTTTATTTGTACAATGAGATTAGATACTTTTCATATATTTGTTGACTAATTAAAGAGCTAGTCTTGTTTGAGGTTTTTAGTGATCTGTTAATTCATCTAACAGATTCTTTTAAATTGCAATAGGTGCCATATAATGTTCCAGGCACTGAAGATTTAGCGGTGAACAAGCAGATAGAAACCTCCACACCTTAGGAAGCTTCCTTTTAAGAGCTTTTGCTTTATTTTGTCTGAGTGACTGATAGGTGATGCTTAAAGCTGCCATTTTGACGTGTCTGTGATATACCTGACACACACGTATTTGCTTCATTTAAAGTGCAGTCTGAGAGAACACTGACATTTCTTATTTCTCGATGAGAAAAGGAGACACAGAGCATATAAGCAAGTGATCCAAAGGCATTTAACTAGTCATGTATAAATTTCCTCCTAAGTCAATCTGTAACTTGCAAGGTCCATGTTCTTTTCCCTATGCAATATTCACAATTTCAATTATTTCAGAAATTTATGTGTATGTTATACTTTCTAAAAAAATTTTTCTAGCATGTTATTGGTTTTAAAATTTTTGTTCATTTTCAAATTCACACACAGAGTTGTTTACAAAGATTTATTTATTTATTTGAAAGGCAGAGTGACAGAGAAAGAGAGAAAGAGATCTTCCATCCTCTGGTTCACTGGTTCATTCCTCAAATACCCACAACAGTCTGGGATGGGCCAACCTGCAGCCAGGATCCTAGACCTCCCTAGGGGTAGCCCACGTGAGCGACAGGGACCCAAGCACTTGGGTCATTTTCTGCCGCTTTCCCAGGTACATCAGCAGGGAGCTAGATCTGAAGCTGAGCAGCCAAGACCTCAATCCCACTCCAATAATACGGGATACTGGTGTCACAAGTAGTGGCTCAACCCACTGCACCACAACCACAGCACCCACAGGCAAAAATTTTTACATTCTTATATAATTAAATTTTGGAAGGGGTTCCTTAATTTCTGTTGCTTTAATTTTAGAGTATATCTTCCCAGGGAGTTGTTAAATATTCATTTCCCTTTTTTAATTAAAGATAATTAATTGTTTAAACCATCTGAACTTTCTATTAGTATTTAGTATAAAGTGAGAATCTATAATTACCCAAACTATTGATGTGGGAAGGTAGGTGGCTCCACAAGAGAGTTGAGGTTTAATAACCCAGGCCAATGCAGGTGACAGCATGGGCCACCAGTCGATGGCCACCAATGACCCACACAATTTGATGATGCAGCTGACCTGCAGCAGAATGACTCCAGGCCAGCTGATGAAGCAGTTGTGGCCAGCCCTGCAGACACACTGGGCCAGCCTGTGTGACTGCCTGATCTGTGCCCCCAAACCACCCTTTTTGTGCCCCATCCAAACCTGCCTTCCATGACCCACCGAGCCCCACTGTCCTTCCATGTGGGAAACCACAAGCACCACAATCTCCCAAACCCAGAACAAGAGCCAGCTAGAACTATCCAACATGACTGTGAGGATGTGGTCCCATGATGACCTCTAGGTCCTTAGAATGTCATTATAATACAATTGTCATGTGAGGGCACTCCCGCTCCCATCCTGCACTTGATGCCATGACACTTGGATATTTCCAACAATGGGCATAAGATCAGACAGTGTGCAAGCCCTGACCCAAACTCTGCCCTCTTTTGAATATTTCATTAAGCTCCACACCAGACACCACACACTTCTCCACCCAATGGCACAACAGGATGGTGCACACCTTGTTTTGGGAGTAGGTTCATTTTTGTGTTTTGGCAATTTGTTTGTTCTCTTTCTATCTCTTAAATTTGCCTGAACATTTCCTTTGCTTTAAATAAATCCCACTTCCTTGCACACCTTTATGCTTCCACTTGAACTTTTTTCACACTTGGAGGGAAAAAATTGGAATAAGCCCACTTGGGGACCCTGTTGTCCACAATTCTATGAATATATTTTATTGATTGATCATTTTCGTCCTCAGTCATTAGTGATGAAAAATCACCATTAAAGAAAATCTTTTTCCTCTTCAATCATTATTGATGCATTATCAGCTTCTTTAGGCTGAAATCCTAGAAGATCACCCAGTAAATCTCTACCAAACCGCTTTTGGTAAAAATATATCAGATAACTTCTTTTATCATCAGAGTTCATGTTAAACTGCTTCACTTACAACATTTTGCCTCTATGCAATACACACAACGTTAAATGCTAGAAGCAGAAATAGTCATTTTATATCTGAGTTCAGATTCCATTGCTTAGTTTTATTCCTAATCATATCTTTCTTAGTCCATTTAAATAATCTATCAACAAATATTTATTTAATACAGACTATAAGTTTTGTATGTGTGATATAAACTGGGGGAAGCCAAGTATATAATATCATATAATATGGTTCTTATTATCAAAGAACCTACTACCTAACTGAGGGGAAATAAGGCATACATGAAATGTTAACTTGTAATGAAAGCAGTATTTGAAAATGCCAGATTCGGGGGCCGGCACTGAGGCACAGCAGGTTAACGACCTGGCCTGAAGCAGCAGCATCCCATATGGGCGCCGATTCTAGTCCCAGCTGCTCCTCTTCCAATCCAGCTCTCTGCTGTGGCCTAGGAGGGCAGTACAGGATAGCCTGAGTCCTTGGACCCCTGCATCCAAGTGGGAGACCCGGGGGAAGCTCCTGGCTTTGGACTGGCACAGCTCTGGCCGTTGCAGCCATCTGGGGAGTGAGCCAGCAGATGGATGACCTCTCTATCTGTCTCTACCTCTCTCTGTAACTCTATCTTTCAAATAAATAAAATAAATCTTAAAAAAAAGAAAAAGAAAATGCCAGATTAACTGACAGTGAGCATGATAGAAGTTCAGAGGGAAGAGTGATGCCTATGGACTAGGTGGACCAGCAAGCTCTGCAGAGAAGGTGGTCATTCCCAGATGAATTGTTAGGAATTTGATAGCTAAAAAGGAAGGTGTGGAATTGTGAAGCTGAAATACAGGAAGAGCCTGAATACCATGGCTGACATGTGAGTGTGAAGAACAAAGGGAAGAAATACAAATCTGCAACACCCCCATTGTAAGAAATTCCTTCACTACACAGTCCTGCAAACACAGAAGCATATTCTACAGGAAGAGGGGAATAAGCTATAAATGTCAATAGCTTTGCCTGTAAATTAGCAGTCAGTATATAAGTTGGAGGTCTGCCTTGTGTAAGACTGGGTCAGATGTTCAGACTGGGTAAGCCTTTAAGTATAATGACTGCTGTGCCTAAGTCCATCTGCAAGTTCCTCTCAATTGTCTGGATGTTTAAGCACAGATGGAAATTTTAACTGATTTGGAATATTCTTCCATTAATAGAAATCTTTCTGGGTGTGGCACTGTGGCATAGTGGGTAAAGTTGCCACCTCTAGTGCCAGCATCCCTTATGGGAGCCGGTTCGAGTCCCAGCTGCTCCACTTTCAATCCAGCTCCCTGCTAATGCACCTGGGAAAGCAGTGGAGGTTGGCCCAAGTCCTTGGGGCCCTGCATCCACCTGGGAGACCTGGAAGAAGTTCTTGGCTCCTGGCTTCAGATCCACCTAGCCATTTGGGGAGTGAACCAGCAGATGGAAGAGTTCTCTCTCTGCCTGTGCCTCTGCCTCTCTGTACTCTGACTTTAAAATAAATAAATAAATCTTTTTAAAAAAGATAAGAGTCTTTCTTCACAAAACAAAGAATTTTTGAAAAGTTAAATGCTAATAACCATTATTATAGGCTAGTTCTACCTCTGGGCTAAGATCTGTTTCCCCACATGTGCAGGTTGCAGTCCATTTTTGTGAATCAATGTAGTAGTCATGGTTCTCCAGACAAACAGGAAAAGCTGATTGTGTGTGTCTGTGCATGTGTGTGTGTGTGTGTTTGTGTGTGGAGGGTTGTGGAGGGTTGGCAAGTCCAAAAGCTGCATAATGGGTCAACAGTCTGGAGACACAGGAAGGAGTTGCAGTTCAAGTGCGAAGGCAGTCTTCTGGCAGAATTCCCTCTTATTTTGGGAAGGTCAATCTTTTTCTCTTAAGGCCTTCAATTGATGAGATGAGGATGACTCACATTATGGAAGATAATAAATTCTACTGATTTAATCCTGTTTAAGAAATACCTTCATAGAAACATCTAGAAACATGTTGTATCAAATATCTGTGGGATGCCAAATATATAATATATTTGGTAGTGTGGCCTAGCCAAGTTGACACATAAAATTACCATCGCTATGAGTAATTTGTGAAACCTGATGGTGATGGGAGCTCACGGGTTAGGGCTGGTAGCTGGGGCCTGGGTGGAGGGGCCTGGGACATACAAGACCGAGTCACCCAAATGTACCCTGTTTCCAAGGTTTCACAGGACAAAGCTGTGTCCAGGAACCGGGCCATGGTACTTTTTCTCTCTAGGAAACCCAGGTTGCCTTCTAGCTCCTGAGATTCTTACAACCCAGAATGATATCTATGGTACTTCAAAAAGTTCTTTGAAAAAGATGTAACTTAAAAATGAGTTTATTTTGGTGCCAAAAAAACCATTTTTGCAAACCACTTTTTTATGATACATGAGCAATGTGTATTATGAAATGTATATTATGAGCATGAATTTCAAAAACTTTTCCACCAAAAGAAATTCATACATTTTTAAGATTTTTATTTATTTTTTGAAAGGCAGAGTTACAGACAGGAAGAGGCACAGAGAGAGAGAGGTCTTCCATCCACTGGTTCACTCCCCAGATGGCCACAACAGCTGGAACTGGGCTGCTCTGAAGCCAGGTGCCAGCAGCTTCTTCCAGGTTTCCCATGAGGGTGTAGGGACCCAAGGACTTGGGCCACTTTCTACTGCTTTCCCAGGCCATAGCAGAGAGCTGGATTGGAAATGGAGCAGCCAGGACTTGAATCGGCGCCCATATGGGATGCTCGCACTGCAGGCAGCAGCTTTACCCGCTACGCCGCAGTGCCAGCCCCAAATT